GTGTCCAATTCTTAACAGGTCAATTCCGTATATCGTTTCACCAGTCACTTCCCCAACCCAAAGACACTTTCTCTCTGACTAAAGTAAAATTCATTTCTATTATTCTAATTTAAAAGTTACCTTTCGTTATTTTGATAAGAATTCTTCTACGAAAATGTCGGTCAGCGCTCGCGACCGATATCTCCAATTCTATTCTTTCAACAAAAATTAAGGTCAGTCAGAGGCTCTGACCGACATCTGGTCCACACCCAGCGGCCTGTTTTGATATCATGTCTTTTCCTTTCTTTCCCCCCTTTGTTATTATCTTTCCTTTCTTCCTTTTCCTTTCTTTCTTTTCCTTGCTTTAGGATCGTTTAGTACATTCTTAGTGAATTATTTTCAACCCAGTTATTTTCCGTTTTAAAGAAAAAAAATTAACAACCTGTTTAATAAACTGAATAAGAAAAAATTAACTCATATTTCTATGAATATTTCCAATAAATGCAAGGTGCCATAAACTTTCACCATGTAATATCCGAAAACATCTAAGTTAGCTTTGGTCTATTGAAAAATCCTTCTATGGAACGGAAAATCATGGAATGTATTTTGTTTGACATCACTACGTAATCTGTTGCGTTTTTTTTCATTCATGTTTGTTTTTTATAATTTTGGATATATTTTAAACTCTCTTCCATATTAATATATACGAGTTGTGTTTCTGTAAGCATAACTGTGTCGAAAACGGAAAAAAAATATTAAAATCAATCATATTTTTGACAAAAACGTTTCGAATCAGATTTGATTTTATTGCTTCGACACCTGATAGTTTAGCCAATACTCAAAATAATTTGTTCATACTATCTCAATAATAATAATAATAATAAATGAATATACCCACAGACATAGCAAGGTAGCGACAAATGTGCACTGGAAGAAATGCAAGAAGCACAGAATCGAAACCACTGGGAGATGGCATGAGCACCAACCAGACACCATTACCCAAAATAACGATGTAACTATAATCCGGAACATGCCAATTTAAACTGACAGGGAAATAACAGCCAATAGATATCACATGAACACAAAAGGCAAGATATTCAGGAAGTGTATGCTTATTGACATAGCAGTACCATCTGAGAGAAATACCACCATCAAAGTTATCGAGAAATTGTCCAAATACAAGGACCTGGAGATCGCGATTAACAGAATGTGGAGAATGAAGACTGAGACTGAACCAATAGTAATCGGAGCACTGGGCCTCGTGAGAAAAGGAATGGGTAATTTTACTTACAGCGTCCCAGGTAAATTCAACATATAATGTGCCTAAAATATCGCTTTACTAGGAACATCCTATATCCTAAGTAATGTATTATCAATTAAATGACTATTCACATTATTCGGACTATTGTCCTCATCTTTGTCGCCATATTTATTACAACGCTTCAGCCGTTATACGCTCCGGTTTTCTTCAGGTGGTTGGAATGTCAAACTGAACCCAAGTTTTCCACTGCCATAACCAGGTGTTGAACTCACACTCTTTGGGTCCTGTCACTGTGCCATGTGTCCTCAAGGACACATGTCACTGTGGATAAAGGCGTTAGTTAGATCCAGTGACAGGACCCAAAGAGTGTGAGTTCAATACCCGGTTAAGGTAGTGGAGAACTTGGAGAGGGGAATTAGCAGGATATAACTGATAACTGACATCCATTAGACATGACACGTGGAACTAGAACAGTTTACCCCAGTGAGCGAAATAAAGGGTTCAGTTCGGCATTCCAACTACATGAAGAAGGCCGGAGCATACAACGGCCCAAACGTTGTAATAAATATGACGACAAAGATGAGGACAATTGTCTGAATAATGTAAATAATGTACATAATACCTCACCTCAGAAATATAAACAGATAAATGACTATTCTCCTATAGCGCCGAATGACCATAGTTTAGACCAGGCTCTACAAGAAACAAAGCAGGAAACATAACATACACAAATGGTAATAAAATATTGACAAAATATTTGGTAATTGAATGACAAAGTGGACAAAATTGTATGTAAAGCATTTCGTCCTCTAAAAGTACTTCATCAGACTAAAGTAATGTTCTTATTGATGGAATTATATATATATGTAGCGGCGGAGAAAATATAAACAAAAACGCCGGTTTTATTATTTACCGAGAAGTATGGACGCTAAATTTTCAAATTTTCAAACGCCCGATGCATCTCAACGCAAACATTCAGCCGATTTCATTTAGTTTCCCAACGCTTTTGTCTATCTTTGTATCGCTGTTGTTTTTAAATCAATGCAATTTCTATACATTTTAAATACTCCACACTAAAACATAGGGTTTAATATAAAAGATACGTTGTAAGGAACGCGAAGGAAATTTACCATGGCAGACTTACAAATCAGCGGCCTTTCTATACATTTTAAATAACCCACACTGTAACAGAATGTTTAACCTAAGTGATACGTTGTAAGCAGCTCGAGATAAATTTGCCATGGCGGCTCAGAAATCAATGCACTTTCTATATATTTTAAATAACCCACAATACAACAGAATGTTTAAGAGAAGTGATACTCTGTGGCCACCTCAAAGCATATTAACCATGGGAATCTCAGTAATCAATGCCCTTTTTATACATTATCGCTTTAGTAAATTACTTTCCATTTTAATTAAAGCAGCATTTTTAAGTCAGGATTATGGTCAATTCTTTGCGATAGATGACTAATGCATCTGTCAACGATGAAAACGCAAGTCCAAAATATGAATTTTTCAAAAATCATTCTTCCTTTATTTTTCTTTCGTTGTATCTTTTATATTTTTTTTCCTTTTTGGTTAGAACTGCTTCAGTCATTTGTTGATACATTCGATAGGAAATCGATAGTTCCCATTGCAATTATGCAAATCCAAAGTTACCATGATGAATAAGCGATTAATTATTCCAGATGAAAAGAAAAAAAAACGATTATTTCTTAATAATTATCCTGATATGAAAATTTGCAATTGGAGGCTTGTGAATCTCAACGCCATATGTAATCATTGACTTACAACCGATTTGGCTGGATCAAAAGTAAAACAAAAAGAAATCAATTAATAAAAACAACAATTCAATTTTTGTCCAGACGTTATAGTCTAGAATATGTTGACTACATCCTGTACAAAGGTGAGAGGCAGTGCTCGGAAAAGAAACCACTATCCGGATGAATGCTTACTCACTCAAATATAAACCCGGTCAATTTTTAGCTATTGTCTCAAGTATAAACCCGATCAATGTCTATAGGCTCAAATATAAACCCGGTCAAAGTTTAGCTATTGTCTCAAATATAAACCTGATTAATGTTTAACTATAGGCTCAAATATAAACCCGGCCAATGTTTAGTTATTGTCTCAAGTATAAACCCGATCAATGTTAAGCTACTGACTCAAGTATAAACCCGATCAATGTTTAGCTATTATTTCAAATATAAACCCGATCAATATTTAGCTATTGTCTTAAGTATAAACCCGATCAATGTTTAGCTAGTGACTCAAGTGTAAACCTGATCAATGTTTAGCTATTGTCTCAAGTAGAAAACCGATCAATTTTTAGCTACTGACTCAAGCATAAAGCCGATCAATGTTTAGCTATTGTCTCAAGTATAAACCTAATCAATGTTTAGCTATAGACTCAACCCGAGCAACGTTTTTTTCGAATTCATATTTTCTTGAAATACATTTCTAAAAATTAGTTCGTTATTGCTAAATTTCAGATTTATATTTGGTTAATTAATTTTCTTAATTGTTTGTTTTTTTTTTTTTGGCATATCAATATTTATTGCCGAAATCTAAATATTTTGAATAAAATGTTATGGGCTCAACTAAATATATTTTGAACGTATCTGTATGCCTTCAACTATAGTTAAAATATATTGTTGGTTAGTTTGCTATAAAATATATTGTTGGTCATTTTTATATAGAAATATACATTCCTGATATTTTTATACTTTCATAGTTTTTTTTGTTTTTGTTTGGGGAGGGGTCACCATTTACCCATAGCTGAGAACTTAACATATGTTGCTACACCGTGTCAGGGTGAACCTTGGAACAATACCTATTAAGAGGTGGGTGGTTCCACTCTCTTTAGAATTACCAATCTCCCGATCAGAGGCCTTGCTGCCGGATGTAGTTTATCGTTATACCCAGGACTAATATATTTATATCATTACGCCTTCATCAAAATAAAGTGAAAAGTAAACATTTATTTTAGGCAAATATTTTTTTCCGGCATACTAGCTTTTATCGAAGTATATTTAATTCAGTGTTGAGTATTAATCATGCCGATCTAACATTACTTTCACTTCATAGTTCCATGTCAGCCTATAGAATCAGACCTCATCTTTTTACAGTTATATTTTTAGAAAAATCAAATATATTTGCATCCACTGTCAATGATTAGCCCCTGTCTCGTTGAATCCTGTGTCTTTTTTTTGTTTTGTTTTTTATTATAATTATTTCTGTTTCTTCCATGGTCAGTAACACTTTACATCTTAAGGGCTTTTATGGCGTTCCTTGATGTGAAATGATTTTTAAAAATGTTGACTGTGTGTAAACTGTCTACATTCTATAAAAGATGAGCCACTTGAGATCATCTTTTATTTTGACCATCTCCTTCTACTTCTATGTGTCGGGTTATTTCTAAACGTTGATGATTATGGCTCTCCACAATTTCCTGTCCTTTGTAGCTATTAGTAAATGTTGTCATTCTGTTATCTCTCCTAACACTTGTTCTGCCATCGATTTAATCAAGCTAGTAGGCTATGCGTTTTTTAATCTTTTTCTCCGGCCTTCAATCTATCCTATGAGTATCAAATTTTCCAAGCCCTCTTTTTTCATTATGTACCCAAGAAATATCAACTGACTCTTACTGGTGTTAAGTATAAGTTTCGTTTGTATTTCATTTTTCTCTAAAACTTCACCGTTACTCATATGTATGGACCACACAGTATTCTCAGCATCCTTCTGTACAACCTCCAAATCACGTGAAAACACCGATTCACGTACGATCACCGAAGTTAAGCAACATTTGAGCTAATCAGTACCTAGATAGGTGACCGCTTGGGAATACTAGGGGCTGTAAGCTTGGATGTGCGGGTGGTGTAATGGATAATAAATCGAAATTGTTAATCGGAGAGCCGAGTTTCAATTCCAGACAAGTTCGTTATATTCACTTACGCGCAAATACCCTTAGGAAAGGTATGATTCTACCACTTCTCCCCACATCTATGGGTTAATTATTAAAACTTGTATCACTAAATCATTATTATCTCCAAAAGAATTCTTGCAATTTGTGACGTCGTCCCCCGGTCGCAGCGCCGACTGTGACGTTCTATCCTGATCTACCACGGCGCCAGTTGTGACGTCCCCAAACAGCATCAATTGACGTCCTCGCCGCGGCGCCAGCTGTTCGCTCCTCGCTCCTCGCTGCTCCGTTCGGGTGTCGCTGCTCCAAATGTGACGTCCGCCTGTCGCGTCAGTCGTGTTGTCTCGTCCTGTGACGACCAACTGGCTTGGTATCGGTCGCGGCACCCAAATGTGACGTTCTAACCTTTGCGATTCGGGTGGGAATCTGGTTAGATTTGATATCAGCCTCGTCGTTCCCAACTCGCTTCCAACGCCTGGTTACTAAGGTAACTGCATTGATCTCCAGTCTGCCTACCCACGTTTTGAATTGATCTTAGACAGACGAGATCAAACAGTGATTAGGGCCGTAATGCAAACTGAGTTCAACGGGGGGTGATACTACACAAATATGCATAAAATAAAATAAAATGAAAACTCAAAAAAGTTCAAAGTATCAAAGAAAAAGGTAACAAACTTTATGTCTAGTTGTTCGATACATAGGACTGCATGTATCTCCCGACCCGTTCTGTGGATTGTGACACGTCGTTTTCCGTTAGGCAAGTTTTAACGCTTCAAGTTTGCTCTCTAAGAAATTGGCGTTTCGGTGTGTCTTTGGATGAAAGTCGAAAAAGAACTTATTTCGGTGGTCTGGTTCTAAGTCGCTCTTCAAAATAATTGTTCTTGGGTTGAAGAGGAGTCCGGGATTTGCGTGAATCTTGGTCAGCTAAACTCACTGGAACTGCTGGAACTCAACTCTGGAAACTCAACTCTCCGCTGGAGCCCGAACTCTGATTTCTGCCTGTTGGGGCCTCGCTTTTATTGACGCCGACCAAAACCGGGGTAGGTCTGTTGGCGTTGGGGGTTCCTCGATAATTCTAAATACATATCCACCTCTTTTATTTCTGGTTAGGGATTTTCCACTCTTTTCCATTTTGGGGAACTTTTCCTCTCTCCCACTTTCTCACCATACTTCAGAGGGCGTGAACTGCCCTCCCCACTTCTTCGTAGCAGCTTCTCATACTTATACTCTGGATGAGGCGTCGACAGCCTCCTTCGTGCGTCACGTGATTACCACTCGACCAATGAGGTCTTAGTCGGGTATCTTTCCTCCTCCTTCGTGCGTCACGTGATCATCACTTGACCAATGATGTCTTAGTCGGGCGTGAACAATCCGCGGCTTTGTTTCGGGGAAAAAAAAATATCTAGCTTAACTAAAAAAAAATTATCTCTTTTCTTCCGCTTTAATCGCCGTTATCATTTTTCTAGCCGCAAACGGACAATATGACAACTCTTGTTCTACACGTGGCTTTTGTCAGGTATTTTATCGCTAATTATCAAAATGGGTGCTCTTCTTAACACGGCCTCAAAAAAGAAATATCTCTAAAGTTTCAGTCAGTCTGTCGCCTCCAAGGAAGAAGAAAAAAACACTTCTGGGTCCCCATTCATTTTCCTTCGGTACATATTTCTGATAACATAATTTTATTATCGCAGGCCAAAGTTGTTTCGTCGGAAAAAAATCGGTCAGTGGACACGGCTTGTATGGCTTTTAATTTTTCATATCTACCCAAAGCCCTGTAGTTACACCTGTGTTTTGTCAATTATCAAAATTAACGTTTTCAATTGAATTTTTCCCTGGCCAGCCGACCAGCCGTTTTGTTTACGTACTCCTAGATAACACAGCCGTTATCAAAACACATCTGTTTCTTTTCTTTCTTTCCTTTCTTCTTACCCAGAATTTTCCCTGTCATTGTAATGACACCCTTTCGCCATGGTTACTTATCAATATATTCATTGTCTCTTAGCCGTGTGTGTGTTCTACTGATCACCCACGATTCGTCTCGTCTTTCTTTCTGCCTTCTTTTCTTTCTTTGCCTCGTAAATGGTGCCACAAATTTAAAAATTATTCTGATTTCAAATAACCTGAAAATGTCTGATAAACCGTAAAAAAACAGACCACTCGAACTTCGTTCTATTATCAACGAGCTGACTGGGAGGCGTTCCGTGATTTCCTCCGCGATGTCCCCTGGGATGGAGTCTTAAGCTCCCCGTCCAAGAATGTGCTTCTGAGGTCTCTTCCTGGGTTAAGTCGCGCTCCTGCCCCTGGTTCTCGGCTGCTTGCTCAGCCGCCATCGCCCATAGGAACCACTACTTCCACCTATACCGTAGCGACATGTCTGACTGCAATAGACGTCTCTTTGCCTCCGCCCGTAACGAGTGTAAGCGTGTCCTAAATGATGCTAAGTCACTATTTGCGGCTCGAATGAAGGAACGTATTGCATCTCGCAAATTTGGCTCCAAAGATTATTGGCGCCTCTGCAAGAGTGTATTGAATAATTGCAAACCCTCTATACCTCCTCTATTCAACCAGTTCGAAGTCTTGACCTCCTCTACCGACAAGGCTGAATGCTTTGCTCGGAAATTTTCATCCAACTCGACGCTCGACTCTTCCGGTGTACCCATACCCGACTTCCCTCTTAGAACTGAGGCCATATTGAGGGGTTAAACATAACCCCAACTTTGGTACTGGGCGTTATCTCCAATTTAGATCCCAACAAGGCAAGTGGTGGAGATGGGATACCAGCCATTGTCTTAAAGAAATGCGCGCCTGAACTGGCGCCCGCACTTTCGAAACTATACAACTACTGCCTCAAGGAATCTTGTTTCCCTGACTGCTGGAAGTCCTCTTCGATCGTTCCTGTCTTCAAGAACTCCGGCGACCCCTCTGACCCTTCCAACTACCGTCCTATCAGTCTCCTTCCCCTTTTCGGCAAAGTCTTCGAATCTTTAATCAATACCGGGGTAGTTAACCACCTCACATCCCATAATCTGCTCTCAGACAAGCAATATGGTTTCCGCTTTGCCAGATCTACAGCCGATGTGCTCACAGCCATCACTGAAACAGTCTACCGAACTCTCCAAAATAACGGGGAAGCCCGAGCCGTGGCACTAGATATCTCCAAAGCATTTGATAGGGTTTGGCATGCCGGCCTTCTCCGCAAGATCCAGGGTTATGGCATTACGGGTCGATTATATAACGTAATACAATCATTCCTGTCAAACCGTGTATTGAAGGTCGTTCACAACGGATTCTCCTCCAGTTCCTATCTCACGAACGCAGGTGTTCCTCAAGGCTCCATCCTAGGCCCCACTCTATTCCTTATCTATATAAAATGACCTTCCTGACGCCGTAACTTCTCAAGTCGGCATCTACGCGGATGACACCACAATTTATTCCTGCCTCAAAAACAAATCCAGTCTCGCTGACAAAACTCACCTTGCCGTGCGTCTCGAAAAGGACCTCCAATCGATTGTGAACTGGGGCATTATTTGGCTGGTCAACTTCAACGCTTCGAAGACAAAACTGCTCTCTATTAATCACCACAGAGAGCCTTCCTTCCTCCATTAGAATGTCTGACGCTCAACTTCTCGAGAGCAACTCTCTGCGGCTTCTCGGTCTCACGTTGACTGCTGACCTGAGATGGAATAAATACATCGAGTCAATTGCCTCGTCCACTGCGAGGAAAGTTGGCTCCCTGAGCCGTGCTAGGAAGTTTTTCTCCCCTGAGTCGATCCTCCAGATATACAAATCCACAATTCGCCCTTGCATGGAGTATTGCTGCCATATATGGTCTGGTGCCCATTCTGTTTGCCTCGGGGTTCTTGATAGGCTCCAGAAGCGGATATGCAATATGGTTGGCCCTGCCATGGCGTCTCGTCTACAGTCACTTTCTCACAGACGCACTGTCGCCTCCCTCTGTCTGTTCTACAAATACTTTCATGGAAATTGCTCCGAGGAACTGCATTCGCTGGTTCCCAAACTTCATGAGTTCAAGCGCTCTACGAGGCTGGCATCCCGCTCTCACCCCTTCACTGTCGAAACTCCTAAATGTAGCCGTCTCTTCTACTCTAATAGCTTCATGTCTCGCACCTCTCGCGTGTGGAACTCTCTTCCCTTCTCCTGTTTCCCTGAGAGTTATAATCTCCAGCTATTCAAGTGTAATGTCAATCGACATCTCCAGTTGCCTTAATCTATCTACTACCCTCATCCTTTCTTCTATCACTCCTATCTGACCTTCCTATTTTCTACAAAATTAAATATCCTAGTGGCTTCTTAACCTTGCTTGGGGTGAAATGCTTAAAAAAAAAAAAAAAAGTCATCTTTCGCTACACCAATGCGCCTTAAATTCACTGCCGAATAGAAAGATATGAACAAAATTTACAACAGCAATACTATTTGACAGAATCCGAAACGTAACTCATATCCAGCTGATGTCACTTTAAAACTGACACTTACTTCTTTTCATCTATTGTGACTATTTTGCTTAAAGTTCGTATTTTACTTATTTCAGTGAAAGTTTTACTTTACAAAATTAAGTTAATAATTATATTTTAGATATAAAGAAAAAAGAAGGCCTTTGTTGAAACAGATGCCAGGACGATATAAATTAAAACGCACACACACACACACACACGCACACACACATACATACATACATACATACATACACATGTCAGAACAAATGGACGCATTTACACAAAAATATTTTTAATGTTTTGTTTTTTTTTTGTGTGTGGGCGCGTTTTGTTCTTTCTTAGAACGTCATCGGACTAAAAAGAAATTTTCTTATTTATTTTTCAACACATTATCCAGAACTCTGAATGCATTTAAAGATCAAATTCGGTTGATAACTTAGTGAGTTCTTAGAGAAATTTTATATCTTTAAATTGTCGAAATTGC